AATTAGATAAAAAGTTAAAAAAAATTTTACAGGCTCATTTATCAAGAAATTTTTTTAAAAAATATTCTCATATAAAAATATTCAAAATACTCTAATACAAGATAGTAATTCGTAAAAATACATAAGAATTGATTTCATGAAAGTAAGTATAAATTAAATAAATATATTTAATATTACCTTCCACCCTTTATTTAATAAAAAAATAATTAATTATCAAGACTAATAAGAAAAAAGTTAAGTTAGTTAATATTAATTAATAATGTCACAAATAAAAATTTTATTTTAAAAATATTATTTGAATTAAATATTTTAATAATAATTATATTTAATATTACAATACCTAATTTGAAAGATATTTTTTTCCACCAATTACTTGTGTTATTAATAAACAACAAATAAATCCACTTGCATGATAGCTGAATAAGTGTCTAATTTTTATTTTATTTTTATCTAAACCATATATGTGTTTTTATTGAAGGTAATTTTGTTTGAATAAAGTAGAACTAATATGAAATGAAAGATTTATTCCTATAAATATTTAATATAATTACATAATTAATATTTAAACTAAAGACACTAAAAAATTTTCATATTTATTAATCATTGTGCTAGTTAATATTGATTAATGATAAGATGGGTCTAAAGAGTTAAAAAAAATTAAACGACTTAAAAATTATATATGATGATCTTAAATTATTATTGTATTTATTAATATTAATTTTATTTTAATTTCTTAATATGTTAGATGAATGACACGTTTAGGATTTTTATTTATTAAATTTGTTATTTAAAGTGCGTGCTAGTCAATATTGATTAATGATAAGATGGGTCTAAAGAGTTAAAAAAAAAAAAAACTAAATGACTTAAAAAATTTATATGATGATCTTAAATTATTATTGTAAATATTAATCTTAATTTTATTTTAATTTTTTAATATGTTAGATGAATGACACATGTAGGATTTTCATTTATTAAATTTGTTATTTAAAGTAAGATTTGTATTGTATGGAGCATTAATAAAAAACAATTATCTTTATTTTCTTTATATAGTATTTTAGCTCTCTAATAATTAAAAATATAAAGTAGTAATAGAGTAAATATTTTATTAATTACAGATTTCAAAATCTAATAATTCTTTTTTAATGACAGATTTTAAAATTTAATTAATATTAATTTTAATGAGATATAATAATCTAATTGTTATAGTTTTAATTAATTTTAATTATCAAATATTTTAAAATTAATTTATTTTAATTATCGTAATTAATTATAGCTATAATAATTAATATTTCCTTTCTAGGAGTCAGATGCACTAAATATTGCTCTTTTCTATTATCTTTTTTCGATTAAGAACTTTTTAGTTCTGCATTCTCAATCTAGTAGTACTGGAAAGATTTTATTGTATCCTAAAAGACATGTGGGAATCTACAGAGTTCTGCATTCTCAATCTAGTACTAGAAAGATCTTATTGTATCCTGAGAGACTTGTGAGGGAATCTTTGAACTTCTACATTCTCAATTTAGTACCGGGAAGATCTTGTTGTATCTTGAAAGACTTGTGTTGGAATCTACTGATGTCCTTTAGGATGATGCATTACACACCTCAATAGTTAGATTATTTTGTGCTCTTAGAATCTATGGACAACAATCTAAAGGACTAAAAGTTGTTTATGAAAACTCTTGATAAATGTGAGAGATAAGCACAAGACTACGACAACAAAAGAACATGACATATGCGCTGTTGTGACTCAATTAATAATAGTATGATTTTGAAAATATTATTCTTTATGATTAATTAAGTGTGAGACATCATTTGAAAAATAATATAGACAATTAATTATTAAAATTCTTTCCATATTAAGAAGAATTAATTATCAATATTAGTTTTGAATGAGATGAAATTTATGTTGGGGATCCCAAACGCACTCACACGCACAATTGCAAGAGAGAAAGTAAATTAACAAGACATAGAAATTTACGTGGTTCAGTCAGAATAACTTACGTTCACGACTGCACTAGATGGTATTTTCTATTTCATAATTAGGTTTCAATTACATGAATATTTATAAAAAAGAAAGAAAGCAAATAGGTCAAGCCCAATAAACCCTTCAGATTACACATACTCAGCAATTCACCCTATAACCCATATAAATTAATGCGGATCAATTTATCTAATGATGAACATTTTTGCTCTATATTTTGGAGAAATTGGTGATTATATAGTTTATTTGCTTTTGAGGCAATATGTTGATCTATATGACATTATATCAAAGATAGCTAGTGACAATTGAGTGTCATTTGAGTATCTTAATTAAATGTATTTCATATAATGAATGTTAATATCATTAGTATTAGTGGTGTCAACTTTTTCAGTATATCTATTAAAAGTTATAATCATTTACAACATGAGTTATATATCATGAGAAATTTATACGTGGGTATCCTCTATATGAGAATTTTAGATATTATGATATGCTAGAGACATACCATAAATTATGGTACGTACCATTGTAGATTTTTCATTATTGTATTAAAAAATACAATGATGATTAATTGAGTCTTTGATCCATGAAACAAAATCCACTAATATTGTGACATTATACTTTGTTGTAGTGAAATTACTTTGAGATCAATCAATAATAATTATTGAATTACAGTTTGTTATTGTAGAGATGATTGATTGATTGCAAGGCTTAATGGTTGAGAAGCTATTAGCTAGTATTCCATTGAAAATACAAAGTTAAGAAATAATGTGATATAATAATTTTTTAAAAGATAAAAAAAAAATTATTATGTGTAGCCAATGATAAATTTGGTCGATCCTTTGACTTTAAACCTGAGAATATATTATTTATTAAACATTGTGAGTTATTTATAAAGAAGGAGAATAGGATTTTATTAAAGTCATTTGAAACAATTAGTGATGATAAACCAACTTTTGTGATTGGAGATCCCATGAAGAAGTGATGAAAAAGGTTTAATGGAAAAAAAATTAAGAAATTACTTGTTAGGTTCTATTAGCACTAAAATTAATTTAAATTGATTTTAATTTTTTAATCTCTTCATATGATGTGAGAAAGTGCTAAAACTATATAATGAGAGAATAATTTTTATAGTTGAGTTTTATGTGATTATGATTTGTAGCATATACTTAATGAAATCACTTATATATGAGCGTTAAGTATGGTCATTTGCATGAGATCTTGGTGAGACCTTTATAACACTCATGAATATTGGGTGAGCACACCTAAAAGTGCAACATAACAATTACAATAAAAATTATAGGAGTGTATTGTGATTGATTAACTTATGATATACACCAAGTGTTTTTGGTTCAATCATTGGCCACATTTATTATTTCAATAACTTGTTACACCAGTTTCGATGCATTACATTTTATATGAGAGAACCTAAAATATCTTTCTAAACCTTTTGAAACATATGAGAAATTATTTTATGTTGTATCTTAGGAACTTGTGTAGCGTCTACAAATGATTCATTTATGACTAAAGAGTTTAAATTTATTTTGTGTTTTCAACATCCATAAAAAATAAATATATAATCTAAATTACTTAAATAATATAATTAATTATCTGTCAACTATGTGAAAAGATTTGAAGGTAGCTTTTTATAACATATAAATAATATATGAAAATTTTGGTCGTTTAAAAATAAAATAAAATAAAATAAAATAATTATGTGGAGTGAGCCACGTTCTTGTTATTTTTCTCCGGTTGTTCCAGATTTCCAATATAAAAGGGCTTCCCCATGATGGCTCTCTGCATTAAATCTCACTTCCCTTCCCATCTCTTTCAAGTCATTCTCCTTCATTCTTCCATTAAAGTTTGAGGCGGCTTTTAAACAAGTTTAAGGTACGAATGTTTCCTTTCCTTCTTTTCTTTTTCATTCTATTTTATCACTTTATAGTGAATCTTAGTGAACACCGATTGATAGTATTTGACACTTGATGAAATGTTTAGATTCGATTTTTAATCTTTTTTGTCTGATTGGATCTTTATCGTTTGCAATTTTAGATGATGTAAGCGAAACCCCTATGAAAATTGCTCTAATTTTATTTCAAATTAGAAATTCATGTCGCAACTCACACACCATTAGATTTAGAGAGAGATCGAAAAAAAAATAGGTTTCTCTGCCAAGCAACTCATGTTTTTCAATTTTTTGATTCCACTAGTATATAAAATGTTTTTCAGAATTAGATCGTATTGCGTTATGCAGATTGTGTGGATTCTAGTAGGTTAATAAATTTGTAAAAACATTTAGTTGGAAAAAAATGTTATGTAAATTGCTTAAAGCAATAAAATTAATCAATATGGTATTATACTTGTATGTACCACTCTAATGAGTTGTATTGTGAAATATGCCTAATTCCTGAAGGAAAATTTGTCACATTGAGCCCTATCCAATTGCCACATTAATTTCATCCAATAATTTTTCATTACTGACTAAGCTTCATCACCCTACATTTTTAGGCGCAAGAAAAACAGGGTTCTTTTATGCGTCAAATTTTTTTTTTCCCCTAAAAATGTCAAATGAACGGTGCAACGACAGACTGTTGAGTTGTGAAATTAGAGAGTAGCCCACAAACAGAAGAATAAAAAATGGTGAAAATGTAAGAGTGAAAATAAATTGTTGGGTGATAGGGCTACGGTGACTGTGTCCAACAAGTGACGTATGGTAAACTATAATTAGTACATAATATAATCGTATGGTAAACATCATTTTGTTCTCTCTTCTTTTTCCTTATTTTCCATCTTCACCATTCTCATGCTGTAAAAAGATAGAACGCTTAACTTGGGTCCACAATTCTTTAGTGTGTCCAGTTTTGTGGGGCCCACCACTTGACTCCACTCCCTCTATCAGTGATCTTGGTTTTTGGACTTGGATGCATCCTCGTCTTTTTATAAATAAAAAAAAAAAATTTAAAGATAAGAAAAATTAAAAAATATCTTCATATTTTTAATTATCTAAATTTCTTTCTATCCAACCATTAGATTAATTTTAATGATTAATTTAAGTTTCATGTTTCTAACTACCGGACCTTTTTTCATTCGATTGCTGAGTTAATCTGAGTGATCAATTTATGATTTTTGTTTAAATTTTTAAATTCTAATTTGTGAAAAAAAGGAATGTAAGATAGGATTGTGATTTGTGATGCATTAAAATTAAATGTAGAAGGATTTTGCTTGTGTGGGGGCATAGCCGCTAAAGAGAAGATTGGCGTGGGACACCAGTAGAATTCTCTAGCATTGTGAACGAGGTTGAATATCAACTTGAAAATGGAGGACAGAAAAAAAAAACTAAAAAAAGAAAGAATCTATGTGAAAAGGATGCATGATAATCTCCTGTACATACCTATTAAAGTAGTTCACTGTAACCCTCATGTTGTTTGGTTGGTATGAATCGATGGTATGATACAGTTTGGTAGGTATGATACAGGGAAAGATGGAAATAAAAAGGTTTAAACATATTTTTTCACAAACATGATTGGTGTTTTATCAATTTTTTTTCTTTTTTATTGTTTGGTTTGTTAAAAAATGAAAAAGGAGGTGCAAAAAATAATGAAAAAACTTTTTTAAGTTATTCAGAAAGAAAAGATTAAAGAATAAATGAATTATAGAATAAAAAATAAATCGTAAATAATGAAAAAGTTGATAAATAATATTTTTATTATTTCATTATTAAATATTAAAATATTGACACTGCAAATCATATTAAATATAACTATTTTCATTCTCTCAAAAAAGAAAAAGAAACTATTTTCATTACTTTTTCCTTATTCATTCATGTTTTTCAAAGTAAATTCTAAAACTAAAAAATGTTTATTATTACACTTAAGTATATTTTTCAGTCGGTGGATTTTTATTTTAATATTTTTAATATTTTAATTAGTTTTATCTCTCATAAAATTGAAAGTATTATTTTTGTTCTTACTTTTAAATAACACTCTTAACTGCTTTTGTATTTATAAATCCTAATGATATGAAAAAAAGGAAAAAGATAATCAATTGTAAATACCTCAAAAACACCATTAGAAATCTCTAAGATGGAGACATCAAATGTTCCACCACCAAGATCAAAAACTGCAATGAGACCCTCCTTGTTGTTCATCCCATATGAAAGTGCAGCAGCAGTGGGCTCATTGATGATTCGCTGCACATCAAGACCAGCAATTCTACCCGCATCTTTTGTTGCCTGCCTCTGAGCATCATTGAAGTAAGCTGGTACAGTAACTACAGCTTTTGAAACTGACTTTCCCAGATATGATTCAGCCGTTTCCTTCATCTTGGTGAGAACAAAAGCACCAATTTGGCTGGGAGAATACTGCTGGCCATTGGCTTCAACCCAAGCATCTCCATTGGGTGCCCTGACAATCTTGTACGGTACCATAACTTTAGGCACACGGGTCATCCCTCCAACAAGAAGAACCTCATCAACATCTTTGATAGATATGTTAGCATCCTTCAAGCAGCTCTTACACGGTGCCTTTGTTCTTTCAATCAAGTTGTTTACCAAAGCCTCAAACTTGGATCTTGTCAATGTGATGTTCAGATGCTTTGCACCAGATGCATCAGCAGTGATGAAAGGAAGATTGATTTCTGTCTGAGATGTCGAAGACAGCTCAATTTTTGCTTTCTCTGCAGCTTCCCGAAGCCTCTGCAAAGCAAGCCTATCCTTCGAAAGGTCAATACTCTCAGTTCTCTTGAATTCATTCACTAGAAAGTCCAATAAAGCATTATCAAAATCCTCTCCTCCCAAGAAAGTGTCACCATTTGTGGCTTTCACCTATACACAAAAGTTATCAGCAACAGTTTCAAACATTATTCCTAAATCCTAATGATATGAAAAAAAGGAAAAAGATAATCAATTGTAAATACCTCAAAAACACCATTAGAAATCTCTAAGATGGAGACATCAAATGTTCCACCACCAAGATCAAAAACTGCAATGAGACCCTCCTTGTTGTTCATCCCATATGAAAGTGCAGCAGCAGTGGGCTCATTGATGATTCGCTGCACATCAAGACCAGCAATTCTACCCGCATCTTTTGTTGCCTGCCTCTGAGCATCATTGAAGTAAGCTGGTACAGTAACTACAGCTTTTGAAACTGACTTTCCCAGATATGATTCAGCCGTTTCCTTCATCTTGGTGAGAACAAAAGCACCAATTTGGCTGGGAGAATACTGCTGGCCATTGGCTTCAACCCAAGCATCTCCATTGGGTGCCCTGACAATCTTGTACGGTACCATCTTCATCTCCTTCTGAGTTTGATGATCATCAAAACGCCTACCAATCAAACGTTTTGTTCCAAAAAGAGTATTTGTTGGGTTAGTCACAGCCTGACGCTTGGCTGGTGTACCCACAAGAAGCTCCCCTTTCTGGTTGAAGGCAACTACTGATGGTGTTGTTCGAGCTCCTTCAGAATTCTCGATAACTTTGGGATCCGTATTGTAGTTCAAAATGTTCAATACGGCCGTACTGAACTTTTGGGAGGCCGTATTGGGCTTCATTCCCTCCACTTCTTTATTTTGAGCTATTACAAGACCTCTAGACCTACAGAGAATCCTCCTAGGGCCTTCCATGAGTCCTTCTGGCTGACTTTCCTTCAGTCCTCAAGAGTCTTCAAGCTTTATTTTCGACCCGGACAATTTTAGGGGTCTACAGGAACGGGTCGTTCCCAACTGGAACGGGGCGTTCCAAATCACCAAAAAGACTTGCAACCCTAGTTGGGAATGAGCCATTCTAGTTTAAGAATGGGCGTCCCAAACATGGCTATTATGGGTTAAAATGCAACCCCAGAACGAGCCATTCTGGCTTGAGAAAAAGTCTTTTAAAATCCTAATCCAATACACCCCCCTAAGAGTCAATTGACCTTTCTTAAATGATATTCACTAGTAAGTATTTAAAATGTTAGCAGGTGATGTATTTATTTAAGAAATTTCAAAATAAATATTTTTTATTTATTTTAAAATGAACTAAAATTAATGATTATAAAATTTTAAAATAAAAATAAAAATATTTTACTATAATTGAAATTTATTCGCATTATAAAGACTAAAATTATATTTAATACAAATAAGATCGTTACATCATTTAAGTATCATTTCTATCGTTTTCATTTATAAAGTACCACTATAATCAATTCTGTAGCAGAAAATGACGTGACTTGTAACAGGTATTTGTCTCGAGGCTAACTGACACCATTTTCGACGCAGAAAAAAACAAAGAAACTGCAGTCACAGCTATGTCTCCCCCTTCTATCCTAGGGAACGGCAAAGACTGTTCTGGAAGGTACAACACGACAATGTGATAGATATAAATCTTGTTTTATTTATATTTTTATATTTTTATAATATAATGATAGTACTATAACATTGGTGATTTTGAATATTTGATCACCCGATTTTGTCTAAAAAACAGTGCAGCTGAGGAAATCTATGCTGACATTAATTGGGATGAGCTTGGATTTAATATAATCCCAACAGATTACATGTATGTTATGAAATGTGCAAAAGGAGATAAGTTCTCACAAGGATCCCTTCTTCCCTATGGAAACATTGAGATCAGCCCTTCTGCTGGCATCTTAAATTATGGACAGGTTCTTCATATATAACACAATAGTGTCAAGTGATTCATAAATTAATGTTAATGATAAGCTTTTGTAGAACACACAAAAAAAGTTGATTTAAATCAAATTCTAGCCAAAGCCTCACAAATATAAAAATGATTATCCTTAGGGTATCTTTGAGGGGCTAAAGGCACTCAGGACTAAAGATGGACGTATACTTCTATTTCGACCAGAAGAGAATGCTCAACGCATGAAGATAGGAGCAGACAGATTGTGCATGCCATCTCCATCTATTGACCAGTTTCTTAATGCTGTAAAACAAATTGTTCTTGCCAACAAACGTTGGGTATTCATTTTCCTCCTATTCATCACTATGATTTTTTTTCCCTCTAAGAAATTGGAAAACTTATTATAAGCTTCAAATATGTAACAGGTGCCTCCTCCAGGAAAAGGGTCACTGTATATTAGGCCATTGCTCATGGGAACAGGAGCATTGTTAGGTGTGGCACCAGCACCTGAGTATACTTTTCTTGTTTATTGTTCTCCTGTTGGAAGCTACCACAAGGTTCGCTATGGATTTCCACGTGATTATTATTATAAGGAAAAGATTCCAATTACAACTTGCTGAAATTTCATACTCTAGAATAATTCAATTTCATCTTTGTGACAGGGTGCACTAAACTTAAAAGTTGAGGATAAACTATATAGAGCAATATCTGGCACTGGTGGAACCGGAGGGATCAAAAGTGTTACCAATTATGCCCCTGTAAGCATACACTACCAAATAATGCATCACCAATAAAACAGTTCTATCCAACTTGAATTAATATCTGTTTTCCGTTAGAACTCAAGAAATCAAGTTAAAGCAGAAAATAACTGTGTTAATAAAAACTTTGGTCCGGAATTTCATCATCCTATAAACTATATTTAATGGTCTAAGTGTTCCCTTCTAGCTTTATATATATCTTGCTGATAATAATACACACAGGCATGACTACTTAGAAGGCTAATTAAGTCAAATCATTGATCAAATTAGAAGCCACCCAAATAAATTTGGCTCTTTATTAATTGAGTATATTATCTTTATATATGTTTCCGGCACCATAGGTTTACACTGCAATGAGTAAAGCAAAAGCCAACGGATTCTCCGATGTGTTGTTCTTAGACGCAGCAACTGGAAAACATATAGAAGAGGCCACGGCATGTAATGTGTTTGTTGTGAAGGTACATTAACAACCTTATAGTGTTGCTAATTATAAATTTGTACGTCCAAACCATGTGAAAATTTTATTATGTCTTAACAAAGTTTATTTAATTTAATCTTATGAAGGGCAATGTCATCTCCACTCCTGCAACAGATGGAACCATCTTGCCTGGTATCACGCGAAAATCCATCATTGACATCGCCATTGATTTGGGTCATCAGGTATTAATTAATTTTCCTCCAATTATTGAGCATGTATATTGATTAATCTTGGTAGTGTTTCATTTTCTTCAAATATGGTTTTCCAAACTAGCCACCGCCAAATCACAATGTTACTGGTTGTCACAATCGGAATTGTGGAGCAGGCGAAAACAGATTTAAAAAAATTCGAAAGTCGCAATTGATGTTTCTTTTAAGAAAACATTAGATAACTTTTTTTAAAAGGAATGATCTTTGAAACTACATTTGAGTTTGGATTTATTATTAAGTTTTGAAAGTTGTTTTAAATTTTAATGAGTTATAATTAAATAGAAAGTTAAATATATAAATTAAATATTTATATTGAATCGATTCATGAATTAAATAAATTGAGTTGTCCACAACTCAAATTTGACTCATTTATTTATATAATACAATTTTTAGATAAAATTTAATTTATTTAGTTCATAAATTAAGTTCATCAAACTAGTTAGCAAATCAATTTTCGAACTACTTTCGAACTGATTAGATTTATTGGCACTTCTATTTTAGAAGAAAGTTTAAAGGCATCAAACTATTAAAATTAGTATCTTGAAATTCTAGGACTTTGAGAATGTTAGATTCAATTAACCATTTTCTCAAAGAAACTTTTTAATAAATATATTAATTATTTTTATTAAACATCGTATTTTCATTTCATTTTATAATTAATTTTTACTTTTAAATCATATATAGAGGAACTTTATTAAAACAAAAACATAACATAACTTATATCCTTAAATCTTTAAAACTAAGTCTCATTCAAATAATCATTTCTTTCTATAATATTACTTGATTTTAAATAAATAAATTTTTTGGTAAATTATAAAATTTTGTTTTAATTATTTAGAGTTCATATTTCATAGAATAATTTAAAAAAAAATTATATTAACTAAGACTATCAAATTATCATAAACTGTACTTCAAAATGTTTATAAGGGTCAAAAAATGTGACATCTAATCGATCTTGTTGTTGTTGTTATAAAATTGAATTTAATTATTTTAATATAAATATGAAATAATTCTTATTTTTAAATTATGCAAGTTTGACGTTATTTTATTGTCATTCCTTCAATTTGTTTACTTACTAACACGTATATACAATTTCAAAACTTTCTAAATCCTAGTTTTTTTGAGCTACTACCGTACCCGTAGAAATCGAATAATTCTGATATCTTAAATTATGTGAACAAATAAATTTAAAAATAAATTTTAAACAAAAAAATTTCAGATTAAAAATTAATATAAGATGAATTAATAAAAAAAGATTAATTCAGAAAAAAATAATTAAAAAACTAATTTTCATAACAAATTTTGTTTATATGTGACAATTATAAAAATTAAAAATGAAAGGTTGTAATAATACTAAAAAAACATTAAAATAAAAAAGAAAAATAATAAATAATACAACTAAAAAACTAATGTATACTATAAATTCAAAAAATTAAAATCAAAGAAAAAACTAATATGTATTAACAAAACACTAATATTAAACTATTTAATTATAATAGATGCTAAAGTAAGAAAATATTAAAAAAAATATATAAATAATATAAAGATATAAAAAAAATTATAAAGGTAAATTATTAAAAATATTAAATTAAGACAAAAACAAAAACAAGTAACTACAATTCTAATATCCATCGATTATAATGGGTATCGTAGCATTTTTCTTCTTCTTTTTTTTACGTTAATTAACTTCCACTATAACTAAATTTTTTTTACAAAATATCTATATTAATTAATATAACGGGGATACCCTATCAATAATTACTTTTTTTTTACCAATACTTTTTTATTTTTAAAAAAATATTTTTTAATCAAATTTAAAAACTTAAAACTAATAAATTAATCATAATATCAATTAAATCAATATACTTTTATTATTTAATTTTTACTTTTCGTGCCTCGGCCCTACTAGTAACATAGAAAGGTAATTTAATTCAAGATTTAACGTGAAAAAAAAGTAAAAATAAAAAATATATTAAACCCACATCACTCCCTTATATGACTTAATTATAAATATATCACTACAACAAAATTTATTATTATTGACAATTATTTCACGATAATAAATTACTTATTTCTATTTTATTATCTAATAAAATATTAATAACTAATATATAATGACTATTAGAATTGTATTTACATCATACCAAAATTTATTATTAGCAACAATTATTTATTGAAAAATATTTAAGTCTTACATCGACTAAAAATAAAATAATTAAAAAGTATATAAGTGGATAATAACTCTCACCTTACAAGTTTGTTTTTGTAGGGTTGAGTTAGACTTATAACTTACTATTCTAAGTTGGTATTAGATTACTCACCATTATCAAACTCAATAATGTTAAACTTGAAGGGGTGTATTGGGAAAAATTCAAATCCCACATTGATTATAGATAAAATAATTAATTAGAAGACAATCTTCATCTTACAAGTCTCACATTGACTAAAGATAAGATAATTAAAAAGTATTTATATTTATCTTACAAGTCTCACATTAACTAGAAATAAGGTAATCAAAGAGTATTATTAATCATTTTTTAAACTTATAGTGACAATAACAAAAAAATATTGAATGTTAGTAAAAAATGACACAAAACTTATACATTTTTACTGACCATTATAAGAGTCTTTATCAATATGCAGAATAATTATGGATAAATATTTTAGTGACACTACATACAATGATTAATATAAAAATATTGATAAAAAATTTTACAATAATTTTTATTGTCGCTAAAATTTTTATTGAATCTCACTAAAAATCTATTTTAAGAACAAAAGATAATGTGGGAAGGAAAGAAGCACGTAGAGGACTGTGACTGTGACGTTTTACGTGCACTTGCAGCGCAGGCATGCATTGCATACATAGTATTTGCAAAGCCTAGCTTACAGCAACAAAAACCACAACTCAAGTGTAAACACCAATAGTTTCGTGACTTTGTGGAGGCTTGCTAGAGTCTCATGACACTTGCCTGTGTGTAAGACAGTAAGAATAAGACCTTTATTAGGTACGAGGGTTGCAAGTTTCATGTCCCTCATGGAGGAAGGTTCTGTGTATTGGGTTGCATGGATGGTTGCCAGTGAAAAATGATATTATATTATGTTGGTGGGTTTGCGCTGAGAAAGACGATGGTGTTTCACCTGATTTTCACAACTATGATATTTAAGCTACTATATTCTTTTACAATTTTTCTTTTTCTTTTTTCTTTTTTATATTTAAATTTTTATACACAATTATTTATTTTTTGTATTTTGTTATTTCCCTTATTTTTAATTTTTTTAAACAAATTTTAATATTTTTCGGACTAAATGGAATATTCACACCAGTTATTCATCATCCTCGTCATCTCATATATAATAAAATACTTGTTATTTTTATGGTTTTTCCTTCGCATTTGTTCGGTACGTAAGAGAATATATGTATTACAGGAAGTGATAAATAAAGAAGAAAAGATCGATGGTCATATCAACACCCCAAGAAAAACTAATTCGTTGTGTCTATGAGGAAATTAATGTAGTTTTTCTTGATTTCTCAATTGTGTATACTTATTAAGGAAGCGATTACTTGAATTATCAGGTCGTGGAACGTGCCGTATCAGTGGAGGAAATGCTAGATGCTGAAGAAATGTTCTGCACGGGAACTGCAATGGTTGTCAACTCTGTTGCATCGGTAACCTACAAGGATACAAGGTAACAGTTACATTTAAATTATCTGGTTATCTTTGTTTTCAATATTTATCTGAGGTAATAGTTACAATTTAATTAATCTATTTCTCTCTGTTTTCAATATTTTATGTGAATTCAATTAGAACGTACCCATTTTTTATATTATTCTTTCTATTTTATTTTGTTTGATAATTATTTTTTTAAAAAAAATATTAAGAAATATGCAGTTTTAGATTAAGAGAATGTTTGGAAAAAAAAATTATAATCTCACATTTAAGCTTTTTTTTATATATAAAAAGTTGTTTGCAAAAAAAAGTTGTATGTTTTGAAGAGAACAACTTTTGTAAAAAAAAAATTCTCTAAAAAATAAGTTGTTTTCATGAAAGTAAAAAAAATTTGAAATTTTTATTCTTTTTAAATAATTTTTCTTCCCTAAAGCTAATTTATTTTATAAATTTTTTTTATCAAATAATTAAATATTTCAATGTCACTTTTTAACAAATTTATCCAAACAAAAGTTCGTTTTTATTAGTATAATCAATTATATCAGTAATTGACTATACAAAATTATTGAAATAGTATAATTTTTACATATTGCACAGATACACTCTAATAGATGCAATTAATAATTTAGACTTTATAAAATTTATTTAGCAATTTATTAATATATTTAATAACTTTTCTCTCTTCTACACTTGTAATTTTATATTTTCTCACTCCATTAAATTATAAATAGATAAGGATGATAATAGAAAAAATACGTTTAACGACAATCGAAAATGGAACAAACTTTTTTAACTTTTGCTAAAAGAACTGAGAATATTATTTAATAAATAAAATAAGATTATTGATTTTTATAGTAATTATTTTAAATATTATATAAGGTGATACTTAATTTATGACACTATAAATTATTTTTTAGTTTAATTTATATACACTAAAAAAAAGTCATTTTATCATATGATCTTATTTATTGACATCATGTTACATTAAAGTGACTTTTTTATTAGATATCGGTATAAAATATCTAACACTAATGATACATATAAATTAAACAGAATAATTTTATGATGATAATATGTACCACATGCAATTAATCTCTTTAAAGAGATCTCTCCTCTCAATCTTGATGACATATTCAGCATTCAACAAAATGATAGTGCTAAGATTCATTAAAATTTATTGGCATGGCAATGCAGAGTGAATTACACAACAGGTCCAGAAACATTGTCAGCAAAACTACGGAAAACACTAGTTGGAATTCAAACAGGGAGTCTCGAGGACAAAAAGTCATGGACTGTCCGAGTAGATTGAGTATATTGAACACCATTTGTTAAATGTTATTTGTTGCACTTAAAATATGTTCAGAGCAAAGGTACCTTATCTCAACAATAAGAATAGACTAGAGTCCAAATATTAAAACCAATCGACTAGACGTCAATTATTATTGCAATAAAAGTTCTTGATTGTTTAATTTGGGACCCAACTTTTAGTGGGAAAAAGTATTTCTTCAATTGGGAATAATCTAAATTTAAAATGGAGTCAGGATTTGATAGTTTTTTCTTATTAGCAAAGAACATTTACTAATAATTAAACATAAAGACTTGACTTAAACTCGAAGCGTGCCCAAGTTAAGCATATTGTTCAATCATGAAATGTTGGAAACAAATTAAAACATTTTTTTTACACGTAATAATGATGAGAAACATATTAAAAATATTGTCATGAAAAAATAGAAAATCATCATACAAAATTATTATTTAATGTGGTTTGGTTTCTTATATTTATGTTTACAAAAATATTTATTATCTCAAATATATTACATATATTTATGAAAACTCCTCCTTTTAGGTTTTATAGATGAAATTTAAAAATTCTCCCTCATAAGTTTTGTAGATAAAACTTGGAAACCCTTGACATGTTTTCTAGTAAAATTTGACAAACCCTCCTTTACAAGTTTTTTAGTGAAACTTGGAAAACCTCCTCCACCAATTTTCTAACAAAAGTTGGAAAACTCTCCTTCGCGAGTTTTTTTGTGAAATTTGGCAAATCATTATTCACAAATTTTCTAGCAAAACATGGTAAATCCTCCTTTATATGACATCATTCCCCACTTAGAGTGATGACCTTCTCTATAGATCGGATGGTTCTTATCATCCTAAGAGTTTGTATTTATTGATCAAATATTTTAATTTTAAAAGAAGAAATAAATATCTAAAATAAATATTATATTTTAATACTAAACAATATCCTAGAAGAAAAATATTATCTTTTAAAATCTAAACAATATTTTAGAAATTTGAATTGTATTTCAAACATGAATCACAAGCAAGTGTTATTTTGCACTTTTGACTATTAAAATGCAGCAACTAATACCCAAAACACATTATTAGCACTCCCTCAACCAAAGCACCATGAGCAATACATAGGTAAAGTGTTAAAATTGTAATAATCCAACAGATCATTACACTTAGTATATATAGCAAAGTTACTATGAAAGTGAAAAACATAAATAATATCAACTACACTAAGATTCTCATGCAACATCTAGATATTCATGAAATAGATATATGTATAAGGTGTGTCGCAACCCAAAAAAATTTTATATTGCGACCTATGGTTTAGACATCCTTTTGAAAATCTCATCAATTAAGAAATGTCCAGACACCAGACTAATCCTTAATTAATGGTTTTGAAAATAGGTTCATGGAGTCGCCACCAATGTTTTACTCAAAACATTGGAAAAAGAAAAGGTTTTTAAAAGTCCAATAATGGCCTTGATAACCAGAATTGGGTTCGGGGGTCGGTTACGTGTAGGGAAGGTATTAAGCACCCCTACAAAGCCCTAAATCGGTATCCTATGATGAAGATAATGTAATAAGAATTAATAGTTTAAATATTTAATCTCCTTTATTAATGATTATTTACATGAAAATTAAATTACACGAAGAACCCTAAGATATCTACATAATTGCGCTTATTATAGCAATATATGAAATAAAAGAAGAGAAAGATAGAACAAGAGATTGATGAGTAATACCTCGTAGCAAGCTTTATTAGATCTTCAACTATAGATATTTTAGGTGCTTTGCGGCAACCTTTCACACTACAATATATCTCATAAAACTCAAGAAATACAATAGGAGAGAGAAAGAGAAATTTCGAGCTCTAAGGAGTTTTGGACGAAATTTTTGAGGCCCTGAGAACCGTGCCCAAGCTGTCTGTTTATAGGCATCAGAAAGTGGCCAGAACGACCCATTCCAAATCTGGAACGGCCCATTCTGGATCCGAACGTTGTGTGTTAATCACGCACCTGGGAACGGCTCGTTCTGAACTAAGAATGGCCCGTTCCGGAGTTGAGATTAACACTATATTCCCTTGCTTAGAACGACCCGTTCCAAACTCGGTTTTTAGGCCTTTTTAACAGTTTGGAACTGCCCGTTCTGGTTTAGGAACGGCCCGTTCCAGACCAAGTTTTTTAGGCCTTTTGATTAGTTTGGAACGACCCGTTCTGGTCTTGAACGGCCCGTTCTAACCAAGAGTCTTTAATCTTTGAGGTGGCTCGGAATGGCCCGTTCTAATTTAGGAATGACCCGTTCCAGATTTGGGAATGGCCCGTTTTGATTTTGGAACAACCCGTTCCGGGCCACTAAAACTAGTTATTTTGGGCTTTCGGCCCTTTGATGTCCTGTCTTGTTATTTTCCTGCTTTGGGAGTTCCTTTCCTTGATAATAGACGTCCATTTCTTTGTTTGTATGCCCCTCGGACGAAATTGGGTGTCTACAGGGTGCAGAAAACATAAAGTAATTCCGGCCAATATAACTGGAAAACATAAAGTACCTTATGGGGTTACATATAACCCCTATACATATATACAATATACATTAAATACACATTACTGTATATAAAAATAACCCTATCACCAGTCAAGCATCCTTGTACAACAATACTACTTCAAAATAGTAAACTCAAAACTAGGTCATCTCCAACATATCCACCAACAAGCCAAGTCATCCAAGCTAATTTTGATTTAGCCTTATACTAAGTATAACCATTGTAATCCAACCACAAGGAAAAGAAAATGTAAGCTTGTGAAAGAATCAAAATAACAACAAGAAGTGAACTTACAACTTAAGCAACATAAACAACTTAAAAACATCAAGTTAACCCATGGAATATCATCAATTTACTATCGTCATACAATAGATAGAACAACTTACATCATATACAACATTATTCTCTCAACATATACAACTCTAATCACAACTTAAACAACTTCCAACAACTAATGTGTCATCACGTATATCAACTTATGGAGACTTCTTACAACTAAGGTGAACAGTCAAGTGGATAGACTTTACCAATCTACAACGTTTGGCCTATTATAAGCAGGTCAAGTATAGAAAACTTCATACCTCTCTAAGCACCTATTTAAAAAACTTAAGTTTGGTTTCATCACTTAAACTAAGAAAGTATAGTACTATTTTCAGGGTAGAACAACTTAAGTGTGAGATTACCGCGACCTTAGCATATATATCTAAGCCTCATGGAATTAGCATGTTCATTATCCTCTAAATACTAAACACCTTTCAAGGAATCAATTAAAGATTTAAACCGTCAACTTCATACCCTATTCAATGTTGGTTGCTTATAACACATATGGCTTAACCTGACCCCATATGATTCCACATGAAAATTTAGAATGAATAACTAAAAATCAATTTTCCATTCAAGAGTCAACTTACTCACTGAAGGATTTTCAACATAAACTCTCTAAGCAACACAACTTATATCCACACAATGAGATATTTTAATTTCTAAACAACTTTTACCCTCCTTTAATTTTTATGTATCTCAACTTAAACATGTATCTTATCACTACTTGTATATATAACTTAACATCTTTAATCAACTAACAACTTATAACTTAATCAACTTTTATTTATAAGAAACTTACAACTTAAGCAACTTAAACATCATTATACATCATCCTAGATAAACTAAAATCATTCAATATCATGAATCATGTGAGTAACCAATCTAATAAACTCATTCTCAACACTTAATTAAATAAATAACAAGTTTTCATTAAGTAAACCACGTCGGACGACATTCTCCTAACATCAGGCATTATTGAGGCAAAGAGTCTCTGATTCGCCTATACCTGGTGCCAATCCACCTACGCCTAGCATGGATGAGGTAGAGAATCCCTATGTCAATAATGATTGACATAACTTGACCTACGCCCAAGCTCATCAAGGTATAGAGTCTTTTCCTAACTCACATCTAGTGCCACAAAACCTACGCCCGATGTCATCTAAGCAAAGAGTTTATGTGTTGATCATGCTTAGTGTCAATGTCGCTCATGTTTGGTCTGATGTCACCAAGTCAAAGAGCTCCTCGAGCAATCATGCCTAGTGGCTCTCATTCTAGGTCCAGTGTGACCAAGTCAGAGAGCTTTTCATTGACCCACGTTTGATGCTACCAATCATGTGCCCAATGATGTTAAGACAAAGAACCTCTAACTTAAGCCACACCCGACACCATGAAGACATGTCTGACACGATGAAGATTTTTGCACTTGGAAAAAAATTCAATTTTGGCTCAAACCAACATGGATTCATCCATTTAGCATGTAAACACCAAAAACAACTCAATTTTAGTAAGAATAGCAACATGTAGTCATATACATACATGAATCATCAATTCCAAATCAACATATTCAAGAATAAGCAAACTCAAAACCAAAGAGCTTCAACTCTCTTGAATTCAACTAAACTCAACAATCAAATGAATAATTCTAGGCATAATCAATAAATACAATACAATAGTCCTCAACTAACAAACTTTCATTACCTTGAATCGCTTGGAAATCAAGAAAAAGAAGAATCGACGAGAGTTTTCCAGGGTTGCGGTATGACTCTCCCAACTTAGATACTTAACTCACTACACCAAAATTACGTCACAAATTTTGCGGCATTTTTAAAGAACCGTCGTTGCTTTTTTATTTAGTTATAACTTACGGCGATTTTAGTGAACGGACGCAATTTTTGATTATTCTCCGACGGTTAATATAGAACCGCCGTAGGTAAGTTAAAATTTTTAGGGTCAAATGTTCCCTCCCCTCTCATAAGAAACATAACCTTAGAAACCTAACCCCCTTTCTCTCCCCGCTCTATTCTTCTTCTTCTCCTTCGCTGACGGTCACACGTCTACCCTGCTCAGGAGTCACGCCTCTGCTCTGCCGCTGTGAACATTTCTCACGGGCATGAGTTCACGGGATCATAGCCTTTGCTACGCTAACCTTTTATTTTGCACAAAATTTATACCAATGAGTCTTAAAAGTCATTTTCTGCATTATATTGAAGAAATGCCCAAACGTGGAGTTAGTCTCACTTTGTTAAGAAAATGAATTTGCGTAAGAATGTCACTTTCTATACTTTATTATTTCCTGTTGGATGACTCTCCAATTCC